TACTTCTAAATCATTAATACTGCGAGTATAGAGAATTCAAATCTTTTTCTCGAAAGTACTTCAATAATTCTTCGAAAATGCTATGTTATAGGCCAAGAAGCTGAAAATTTGATAGCTTTCATCTTCAACATGTAGCAACAAGTTCGAAACTATTCTAGTTAATCTGTATTAATCAAAGAAAAACCAGAAAAGCTGTGACGCCGTGATACTTTTGAACGTTTTTTGTCACGGCGTCACGGTTTTTCTTTGATTAATACAGATTAACCAGAATAGTTTCGAACTTGACAAGCTATCACATCTTGTAGAGCAAACAATTTTCTACAAACTGGTATACTTGTTCAATTTTTGCCGGCTCGTCTTCACTCTTTTAGACACGCTTTTTAGATAGCCTCAACATCGATTTTTTTGGGGCTGTTTGTACAACAGCTGTATTTTCATAACAAATCAACGTTCAGAGCCAAGATACTTTTCATTTTATAGAGAAATGTTTAATCTACTGAATTATCTAGTTGTCATTTACGATTAGTTTGTAGCTTTATTGTAATAACTTTTCGAAAAAGAGGAAAAAATGGAAGCCGTTAGCTGGACAAGCCATATAGAATCAATAGACTGAATGCTTTAGGGTTAAAATTCTTGATTTCCTTATTCATTGATAAATGTCGGAAAGAAAACAGTTTACACTCAAACGTTTAATGTAAAAATATTAATATCTTAAAATTAATTAAACCTTTTGTAGTTACCGTGATATAAGTACCACTATTCTTTTCGAAAAGAAACTATATGTGCCAACCAAAATATCAGAGTAATTTTGTTGTTCGAGAGTAATTTACTTTAAGTTTGTTAACATTTTGTTTATTGATGCGATAGGGTTGTAGGATTTTTCCTTTTTAATCTGTGAAAACTTTTCTGTCCTGTTCTGTATTTACAGTGAACGATTGTTGTTTAAAATTGACATCAAATAATTGAAGTCCCCGAAAATTACCACGATAATGGACTGATTCGATGACGATGCTGAAATAACAGTAGTTTTCTAAACAATCTCAATCTTAACGCTACTACGCATCTTCTCGAACAATACGAACGAAAAACAATTAAAAATCCAAATCTTGATGGACAGCAAAACAATGACAGATGGTAATTAAAAGAAAAATGGAAAGTAAATATCAAACTGGTGACCACTCTCTTTATCACATATAATCGAGTCAGAGTTAAAGGCTCTAGGTAGTTTTGCAACTTTGACTGATGTTTACAATTCTATCTGTAAACATAATGAAGAAGAAAAGAAAATTGTTCTCAAGTTTTGAAATAGTGTGAAGTAATAGAAAATTTGGAGTATACTTAGTTTAACTTTTTCATTTATTTAATTTAGATTATTATCGTATTTGATCGTCTGTCGCTCGTTCAAAAAGATGAAAAATCATCACTTTTGCAGGTTTATATCTTCACTGCTTGACTCGATTCTCCTTTCTGTAATTGTTTATATCAACTCATCTAATTTCGTTCGTTATATGTGAATTGACAAAAGATTATCAACGTTCGTTTATACAATCCTCGAAAAAGATTTATCTTAGCGAATCGATACCGTTCGTCAGATCGGGTAATAATATAAATAATTTCTGATAGAGAATCGATCTCAATTGAAATGACTAGCGATCATAAACGTTTATCTACATCATTTTTTTCAAAATGGCTTAACTGCAAAAATATTTTTCTCATCTGTTGTAAACGATAAATTAGGTGAACTTCATTCTATGTGCAATGCTTTGTGATTGAAAAAGAAGCAAACAATTTGGCTATTAGAGAAATATAGTTTATTAGATCGAATAAAAGGTGTTTATACTAGATGTTTCTTCCTCTTGGTCGTTGTTCATGATGATTGAGTCTTTGTCTAAACGACTCTTTTCCACGTTGTATCAAACCTTCACAATTCCAAAATATTGACTTAACATATTTCCACATGACATTCGAAGTATTTCTCGGCTGTTTATATGGAAAAAATCGAAGTGCTCTCGCTACAAATCCAATAAATATCAGTATTGAAAAATCAATTAATTGTTTTCGTGTAAATTCATTGTTATATTTGATTGGATTGAACAATGATGTCGTGTAAACTGCCGATGATGACAAAGATTTTGGTGAGAAAAGAATATGCAAGAAAAAATAAATTATTGGAATTCCCGCTGATATTAAATAAACATAAACAAGACCTTGACATACTGGAAAAAAAATTACAGATGCATACCAACGATGTATACATTCATTCATTGTTTCAGTCTCTACAAAATGAGTATTCGGAGATACGGGAGAAGATTCTCTCTCTTTCATCTCAACAAGATCTTTAAGTACTTTGATTTCATTTAATATTTGATCTATAGAGTTTTGTACGTTCTGTTTATTATTACTTGTATATTCTTGTTGTTGTCTATGATTAGTTTCATTCAATGGAAGTGATTCATCGTTATCTAAATCTTCATATTTTGTCGAATATTTATAATGTTGTCGAATATTCCATATAAAATATATTATAAATAAAATACATCCAGTAATAAAGAATGAGAAAATAGTAATGTTGAGATTTCTTATTAAAATTTTATTAGAAACAGCTTGTTGAATGACATAACATCCATCTATAGCATAATCATCTTTGACTGATGGACAAAAATAATCATTCACTTTTACTTCGACAAAATTTAATAGCAGTGGATAAATGATAATATGAATTGATAATAATTTTGCTATTTTTGCCTTCATACTGTCCATAGATAATGCCAATTGCCACGATATACAAACTAACAACATTTTAGCATATTCAATGCGATAGTCTGGAAACATTGAGTAACTTTCTTCTATTGTACAATTTAAATATGGAATATTTTGAAAATAATGTAAACCATTTGAACATGCATAGGGATCAAGATATATTCGACGTGAAAATACTTCGCAAATTAATACACAACCGATTAAAATGGGTATTAGCAAAATGTAAAAGGAAGTATAGACAGCGGACAAAAGTTGTTTAGTATTAAGAGTCATGATGATTTATGAACTAAGTAGGGGCGGTTTGTATTAGCACCCAAATAATCTCATTCATGCTTTTTATCTTCTCTGAGGTTATACTACCTTCATTGTGTTTATAGTCCATTGTTTTTATAGAAGAAGAGTAAAAAAAACTCATCATTGTTGTCCAAAAAAGATATGACTAATATTTATTTTCTCATTATTGACATAATTCAACATAATTGTTTTCAAATGACAATGAGAATAAATAACTAATTATTTTGTTTTTGACTAAACCTGTTGTTGCTGCTCATTTCGTTAAGATCAAATTGAAATTTGATAACGTTAACGTTAGTGTATGTAAAGGCTTGTTTTCCTCATTTCAACTAGTGAATTACGCTTAACTACATAATTTTGTTGAACTAAAATCACATGCTTAGAATGTACTAAATTCATGACTTTGACAAATCAAATTCACAGGTTTTCAAGCCTTATTATGATATTTTATCATCTATGATACGGACCTCCTGTTCGACGTAGTATTTAAGTAAACAGATTTTACCAGTTGTAAAAGTTTTTCTATTAAAAGAAGTTCATTTCTCTTGCTTTTTATAATTTTTTAAAATATTTTATTCATTAAAAAAAGGTCAGATGTGGAATACCACGTATAAAAATTGTTTTCTTTCTCTATTTCAGATAGTTTTAACTACTGATCATAAGTTAAGCGATAAAAATGGTGTTGGAACGTGCAGCAACAATGTTAATGAAGTTGACTCGTGCATTAGTGAAACCAATAAAACCTGTATTTGCAACAGTAAATATCTGTATTGTTCTCCACCTGCTCTTACTGTATTTCCTTCTAGCGTCTTCATGCAACAACTAATGAACAATCGAATCATCAAAGTCAAAATGGTGGTGGTTATCGACTGTTATTTTTCCCGTTATATCGTCAAATGGGCTCAAATGCTTTAGTTGATGCAACAGCTGAATTTACTCAGAGAATAACTTATTTACTACCATTTAGACAAGCATTACATGAAATAAAAAGGAGATTGTTCTTCGCAGGTAACGTTCATTTACTTTCACCTGATTATAAGGGAAATCAAACGTATTATTTATCCTATGTTAACATTTTTGCTATATTTCTTGCAAGACTCTCTCATGTAGCAGATGGAGAGTAGAGTCTTGACTAGCTGTGCTTAAACTTAGATTGAACTCCTCAGTCCATACACAACGGATTACAAGTTCTTCTACACTAGAGATAACAGCACTTTACAACTTTTTTGAATATATTTGTTTTACAACCTCTTTTTACTGGGAAAGATGTTCTCAACTTAGTTGACAGAATAGTTACAGAAAGGCGAGCTCAAGGACGGCGCGTGTAGTAAGAGCCTACTCAAGTTTACAAGTCTTGAACTTTTCCGTAATTAAAATACGCTTGTAAAACAAATATATTCAGTACAAATAAAATATTGAAACTTTGTGAAATTTTAAAATCTTAAACTAGATATTCTGATCTATTCTTATTTACAAATTGTAAAAATTGGACGCCTTTTCACACATACATTATGTAGATTAGACCTTGTAGACTAAGCATTCTCCCAAGATTAGAAGGCCATGGTCTTCTATGGTGGTTTCGTACATCGCACTTTTTTTGGTGAAAACTGCCCTATAGGACGTTTTTCAAAAATTTTCGCTCCAGATTGGCCTTCTGTTCTGGAGGAAGGAGGGGTTAGCTTGTCTACAGTTCGAACGTGCTTTTCAATAACATAGCACTTGAAATTAATTCAAAATATAGTATTTTTTTAATAGTTTTTTAATTTTTATATTTCACAGAGTTATAAGAGAAAAAATTATTCCAAGTAGAACGAAAGTATAAGCCTAGAATTTTTCCTGAAATCATATAATAAAGGCTAGACAAGTCTTCAGTTTGATAGTTGTGTGATCTTTACCAAGAAACTGTCACATGACTCGAGTTTGAATTGTCGAGATTTATTCATAATTCAGACAAACACTTTGGGAAAATATATTTTAAAAAGTTTAGATTGAAATGTGGGTAAGAGCCTTGCGTGAACTACGACACGCATGTAATTATAAATAGTATTTTATTTTCAATAAGTAAGAGAGGACGATAAATCAAATGATGGATTTTGTGTCGGTTCATTCTCTTTAACATATAATTTCTACAGTGTCAAGGGAGAGTTCTAGATAAAAGAATGAGAAGATAAAATTACTAAATAACAGAATTTTTTCTTTTGTAAACAAAACAAGGTAGAGCTTCTTACTCAACGAATTATATATAACGAAAAGCTGATGATCTATCTATACAATAGAAAGAAAAAAATTAGCTCTTTTTCTGTTCTTTTCTTTGTCGACAGTTATGAATGATGTTCGGTTCAGCATATAAGTTGAATTTTTCTCTCTCTCTGAAAATGTATACGCTGGAGTAAGTGAGGAAAATGATATAAGTTAAGCATATCGTTTAGTAACTGAGAAGGAGAAAAATGTGAGTTTTTTGTACGATTAAAATATTCAGTTGAATCTTCGCGCAGACTAAATATCTTTTTATAAGATGAAATTAGTCTGCCAACGAAACGATACAGGAAATCTAATTAGATTTATAGTCTGTTATAGTTAACCCGAAATGTTATTGCGTGAAAAATATAATATTTTCATATTTTTTTAAAATGAGCGACCGTATCTATGAGTTTATCTAAGATCGTGTAAGAAATATTTAATTTCTGTTAGTATTAAATACGAGTATCAATTTTTTTTATCACCAAATTTTATTAACAGTGAAAATAATCAACAAAAAATAAGACTTTTGATCACCAAATCAATTAAAGAAAATTTAAATTAAAGAAAACATGTGCAAGACGAAGTATGAATCAAAATATGAAATATGTCAACAGCTGACGGTTTTTGAAATTCTGTTGCCAGTGGTTAAGTTTTTTTGAAATGTTATTAGATTTTTTATGGTTTTTAAAATTTGATCGACGATATTGGCAAACATTAAACTGTAATTTTGCGTATTATGTCGCTTCATCGGACGATGTAGCTGTGTGTAATACTTTCCATTCTTGGTTCGATATTTTTTTGATGGTATTGTCTGTAGTTTAGGGCACGCATCTATGAGTTTACCTAAGATCGTGTGAGAATCTTATTTAGTTAGGTTAGTTATTTATAGCTCTTGTGAGTTGACAAAACTAATAACATTTCAAAAAACTTAACCACTGGCAACGGAATTTCAAAAACCGTCAACTGTTGACATATTTCATATTTCTATTCATTCTTCTTCTTGTATATATTTTCTTTATATTCTTTTTCTTGCCTGTCCACTAATGAATTTGCAATAATGCTGAAACTAAACGAATTAATTTGCTATTAAATTGCTATATATTCTTCTTGTATATGTTTTCTTTAATTTAAAATTTTAATTGATTTGGTGATCATTTCACTGCTAATAAATTTGATGATCAAAACACACTTTTCCCATTAAATATCTCTCGAGACAATCGGTTGTTTTTTTTAAATATAGGAAAGAAAATATACAAAAAATTAATTGGTTTAAACTTTAATCTTGAACCAGAACGAAATTGAGAATTAATTCTTCGAAAAAAATATAGCGGCAAATAAATTTTTCATTTTCATTCAAAAATGTTCAGTTGTTCGCCATTTTTTCATAATTTTTAGTCTTTTCGGGAAAGACAGCACGTTCTGATACTATAACTGCATAAACTGTGATATTTTGTTGATATACGTTTGGCTAATTGTTCTTGCAAGTAACATTAATTACATCAAGTGTAAGATGTTCATGAACATTAAAATAGATAGTGAGTAAACAATTAAACAATATAGTATATCACATGAAGGAGGAAAGTTTCTGAAGACATAGATATTATATCATCTAACGTGTTTATTTACTCGGCGTGTCTGTCTCTTTCTTTCTCTGATTTCAAGGTGTCTACTCGTTTCGTGTCCAAAAAATTTTTCATTTCTTAGAAGTATCTAAGGTTTGTAGAACAAGGCACTATCTGGGTGAAAAAGATGTGGTAAATAAGACTAGAATTTTGTTTTGACTAATTATGCTAAACGACACACACTAGGATGTACGAAGATGTGAAAAAGTCTTGAAGAAAGTTGAAAAGTGTTTATTGACTGAAGTAGACTTGGTTCAAATGTGTCGAGCAGTGAAACCAATATCATGCAAATAGCAAGTGTAGATCACATTATTGACTCTATTTCGTTTCTGCCGTAGGAAAGTTTGCTGTCCTTACTTTAAACTAACTATCAAAAAATGTATACAAAAAGAGGCACACTCGAAAAAAAATTGGGACGAATCGTGACTTTTAACTTAAATTACACTAGTAGACGATCAGCTCAGTCTGAAAAGCTGAATTAGCTATGTAGTTTTATCAGAGTGAGGGGTGGGGTGAAGTGAGGGTGCGAAATCAACTTCGAAAAAACTGAAAATTATTTTCCATAAAAAAAAATTTCTGCTCTTTTGTGCTTCTTACTGATTGCGAACTGAATATCCTTCTTATCAGTGCTTTCAAGTTGACTTAAGTAACTACATGATGCTGAGGACTTAGGAAGTACGCTTGATAGTAACAGTAATATTTTGCTACTCAAGATAATACTTTTCTTCAATATTTTTTATAATAATCTAAGTTATCTAATTTTTGTAACTGACTATTCTAAATTTGTCTCACAGTTTAAAAATGTTTATTATTTGTATGAAGCTTTTTCTTTGAATAACTGATCCAGAGTGGAAAGTCTCAATTTCAGAAAATTCAGTCTTGATTTCGTCATCAGATTCCAAATCGAATGAGCTATCCAGACTTTTTATCTCTGAATAAAAACGTACATTTTAATGAACTTTGATTCAGCCCTGATAAAACTACAAAGCTTATCCAGCTTTTTAAATCGAGTTGATCGTCAACTAATGCTCTCTCGCAGGCGATATAAACTTTCTGAATCTGAACACTCTTATTTACTCATGAATTCTGTAGCACATTATCGCTCATATTCGATTGATATACGAATATTTCAGAAGAATGTGTTGCACACAATCCGGGAGTGCTTTTGAAGATACCACTAACAATGATTTTTGACCAAATAAAACTTTTCTTTAAGGTTTCTCTGTCAGAACCGACTTTTGTTCCAGAACATGCGACCTCGATAAAATTTTCATAGAATATGTGTCTTATCCTAGAGAGATGACACTAAAAACTTGAGTTTGAAATGTTGAATTTTTTCAAGAGTTATCTTAAAATAAGGATCAAAAAGCAGGCATTCGTGCGGCAAAGATGTTTCCCTTTCAAGTGATACAAATCTCGGAGTGGTCTCAAAATGAGTCAAGACTTGACGCTACGGCTTAAGAGATGTGAGTTTTTCAAGTTTTTTTGTCTATTTTTCCTAAAGATTTGATGAAAAAAGATTATAAAAAGTTTCGGCTGACTTTTCGAAAAATTTGCTTTTTCTCAAAAGTCACAATTAAAAATCAAAAACATTACATCATTATCCTTAGTCTGAGTTTCAATTTGAGACTGGTCCAAGCTCTTCATCGCTTAATCTGACAGATGAATTTCTGCAACGAAGAACAGTAGATTAAGTATCTCCCACACATACGTTGATATCAAGCTAAGGACATGGTCGAATAGTTCATATTACCTACTCTTAGAATCCATATTATTTTTGTCAAAAGCTATGTCAATTTCAATAAGAGCCTTAATCTGTACTATATACTAACGCTACCATATCTTAAACGAAACTTTTATGTAGGCGATCAACACTGTGAAGAACGGAGAACAGTCACGTACTTTCTTCTGCTTATTTGTTCAAGTAATCTTTTAATGACGCGTCTCCAGAGACATTTCTGGATTGTATCCATTTACGATGTTTTTTTTGTTGTTGAAATATTTATATGTTGATCGAAAGAACAGAATATGAACGACAATGTAATATAGAATTCATGAAGAAGAAAAAACTATTACGAAAAAATCAAGTAGATTCAGATGCTCAAAACGTTTTGTTATTTTCTGCTAGTGCTCGTTTAACATCGAATTTAATAAAATATTTTCTTTCAATCTAGCTCCTAGTGGCCGTGGTTTTGTATTAAGTTTGTTGGGATATTCATTCATAAATTCAAATGGATCTGATTACAATCAAATTGATAAAACATTAAATAAAATTAATGTAAGATATTAGAATGAGAAAGTGTAGATAATCAATTGTTTTCTATTTTTCTGTTTCATTTTAGAATTTATTATTGTTAACAAAGTCATTATCAGACAATCAGATGGAAATTGACGAAGATTATAGCGTATATACTCTCGATGATTATGAACTTGGATGTCTCATTGGTCACGGATGTAATGCAGCCGTATATGAAGCAAAATTAAGACAAACAATATCGACACAAGCCAAACAGACAACCACTACCATAAATAATGGTAGGTCGACTAACAATCTCCTACACTGATACTCTATCCTATATTGATCAACATGGAAAAGTTCTGGCGGTTATTTCTATATAGCGTGTAAAATAGTGTAAAAAAGCTTGTCAGCGTTGCTTCTACGAAGCAAAAGTGTGAAAACTTCCTATTAAACTGTAGGACTATAACATAGAACATGTAATAATATACCGTAATAATTTTTAAAATTTGTGTCTAAAAACATCAGATGCACTGTCTGTTACTAGTCCATTCAGCAGCTGTAAACATTTAAATTTATATTGAAATTTGGTCAATAGCACAATTTTATCCCGAAAGTTTACAGCTACTGACAAAAAACCCTCTGCAAACCACAAAAATCCTCGTATATAAACTTTATACTTCAAACTTCCTTTTCCTACAAGTCCTAGGAAGTTTTCACAAAACTTAGAGATTAAAGTTAAAAGTACAATTTCTTTTTATTTTGGGTCGTTCAACAGTGTTCAGTGAACCACTCTCATCGTATAATTCTTGTCAAAGTAAGTTTTCTCTACAAAAAAAATCAACATTTTGTATTTTTATCATATAAAAGACGAACACATTTTCTTCCACCATGATATTTTGTTGCCAATGCGTATTTTAAATGTGTACAAAACTGGTATTAGCATAGCTTTCATTTGATCTTTCTACAGAGGGGGAGGGAGGAGAATTGCTAAGAAGAAAGTTTCTTAGAGTCAAGGAGAAAGCCATTTTCGAAAACATACACTTTTGTTCTTTGAATTTTCAGATGAATGGCCGCTCTTTATCCTTTAAAAATTTAGGTATAATTTTTTTTCACACAAGCGTTGACAAGAATGTTGATCTTGCTCTTCACAGCACTATTTCCTCTAATATCTCACATTGTTGTTTCGAATTAACAAAAATTTACTACAAAGGCTTTAAAAGTTCCGAGGAAGAAAGAAGAAAAAGCCCAAGGAGGAAGTGAGGAATCCCACTGCTGATCGTTTGCGCTGGGTATTAAGACTATACTGTAATGGCTGTCGTACTTAGTTGACTAATGAGGAATTGGTTTACTAAATCGTATCGAAGCGTATTGTTGAGTTATCATATGCTCTATTATTTTTGTTTAGGTCTAAACAATCTTGAAGAAACTAATACAGAAATATTATCTCAATCTTCAAATTCACTGAAATCACTTCGTGATGATCAACTTCTCGATGATAATGATGAAAACTTAAAAGAAGGTAATATACTTTATAACACATTTTTCAATGTGGTTAAAAAATAATTTCTAACCATCGTTTAAGTTGAGAAAAAATCAAAATCATCAAAAATCACTTTCAAAATTTGTCAAAAAGAAATAGTGTTAGACAGTTGAGAATGGCAATACAGTTAAGTTTTTCTTAGAAATAAACAAGTTATGAAATACTGTTGATTTTTTTGAACATGAATAAGTTTGATTTATTTTTCAGTTCGTTACTGTGCATCAGTAAATCTTAAGTCTAACAGTGGTAATTTTGATTCTCCTATTTTACCAGGTATGTGTATGCGTATAGTATTTGTTAGCGTTGATTAAGTATGCTTCTATTCTCTTAAAGAAGGTCATTTTAATTTGGCTATTAAAATGATGTTTAACTATGGTGTTCAATCGAATAGCGCATCTCTATTAAAAGTAATGGACAGAGAATTGTTACCATTGAAAGAAGTCCAACATCCAAATATAGTCCGAATCTATTCTTATTTTGTTGATAATTTTCCATTGTTACCCGAAGCATATCAATACTATCCAATGGCCATACCTAGCAAATATGGACCAGATGGTTATGGCCGAAACAAAACATTATTTATCGTCATGAAACGGTAAATACGATCAGCCATATTAGACTTGAAGAATTATCATATTGTACATTTTTGTTTTTCTTCATTTAGATATGATATGACAATAACTGAATATTTGAGAGAAAAAGATCCTTCAATCGGTGATCGTCTTTTATTGATGTCACAAATGTTTGAAGCATTGTTATATTTAAATCAACAATCGCTTGTACATCGGGATCTAAAATCAGATAATATTTTAGTGTGCAGTGAAACAGGTATTTCTTATCTCATCATTCTCATTGTACGGTCTGTAATTAGATAAATCTCTGTTTTTATTCTAGGTGAATTAGTTTTGGCTGATTTCGGTTGTGCATTAAAATGTACTTCATTATTAATTCCATATGTAACAGATGAAACTGCAAAAGGAGGAAATTTAGCGCTCATGGCTCCAGAGGTATTATTATAACATTGACTTCAGCTATGATATATTTAATATACAGTCATAAGTAACTTCCAGTATCAATTTCAAGATCAAAATAAACAATTTTCATTCAAACATTACCTTTTCATATTTTCATATACGAAAAAAATAAGTTTTTGCCCGGATTTTTAAACATTTCACTTTTTTTAAACTCGCATCATGTACAGATTGTTTTGAGCTATTAGCAGAAGTTAATTTTTACTTTTTCAGTTCACTTCGCTTTGCGACTTTATTCCTTTACAATATAAATTTTCTAGAGTATTTGACGGGCTTTCTGAAGTTACTTGAATCGTCTTATTGTTCATACGGATAGAAGTAGATAATTCATTTCATATCAAAATTGTATGCGATTGAAAACAACATTTGGTTTACTCTACCTTTAGCTTTCTCACTTTAGCATCTCGCTACTTTATTGTTTGTTTAGATTCTATTGTGTCAACCTGGACCATCGTCCTATCTGGATTATCGTAAATCTGATTTATGGTCATCTGGTACAATATGTTATGAACTATTCGATGAGACAAATCCGTTCTTTAGTGGACATTTAAGAAATGATACATATACAGATAAACAGTTACCAGAAATACAAAATGTACCGTTGATTATTGAAAAAATCATACATTCAGTGTTGAGAAAAAATCATAAACAAGTATGTACCACAAGCACGTTCAAGTGATGTACTAGGATTCTATCGAATTTTAAACATTTGAATAATTTAAAAGATACCGATAAGTAAAAAATGTTTTGACTTAAAGACTTTGAACATAAGTGTTTCGAAGTTTAAGAAATAGAGTAGTGCTCACAAAACACCTTTGTCCTATAGTTTTTTCCATAGTTTATGAGAGCAGAGATTTGAATACTTCATCATACCAAACATCTCATTACAGCGCGATATAATGGTAAAAGATAATTTTTCTTCACAAGCACCAATTGTTTTGACAAATTCAATTTTGACTGTAGCCTTTCACTTAAAAGTATGTATTCTGTATTCGAATAGTCTCCTGGATATGTGCTAAGATGCGACTGACCTTTTAAAACCAGAGTTTTTTTTAGGGAACTAAGCAGTTAAATGAAACTTTAGGATGTATAGTAATCCAATGCGGCAATATCTAGTTCACAGCGTCGGGATCTAGTTCGTAAATGAATACCTTTTTTAACCACTAGTGTCGTTTTAAGACCGCATTGATTAATTAGGTAATTTAATGCGGACAAAAATTTAGAAGAGAACGAGATAGACATCTCAGAGCTCTTCGCAACGTTCTTTCATCAAACTTAGTTTATTTCATGAAAGGTCTCTGCCGATCCTTTTTGCTGTTTTTTGGTCAATCTTACTAGTTGTAGAGCACTATGGGGCCTTTCGCGAACGACTGAAGTTTGATGAAGGATGTTTGGTTGTTCTGTTTGATTCAAGTTTAAGTTCAAGTTCACTAAGCTGTTAGTAATATCAAATACAGAAATTCGGTTTTCATTTTTTTACAGACTTACGAGGGAACCTCGCCAAATGTACACTCGTTTTTTTAACGAAGTGCAGTGGGCTGTAGGTAATCGACCATGCTGATTTCGAATATGATATTCATTTGGATTCATGAGCCTTTCCTAGTCGACCTCGAACAATCCCCAAAACCTTTTCTAACTAAGTCACGATTGTAGCCCGCAAAATTCGGATCAAAATGAGACATCTCTCAGCTCTACACGACCTTTCTTTGCAAAGTTATAGAGTTTACAGAAAATGTTCTACATGTTCCTCAGAGCTAGCTACAGAAATAAAATGGAAAAATGAATTTAGGGCTTATGTTGTAAACTCTATAACTTTGCAAAGAAAGCTCGTGTAGAGCTGGGAGATGTCTCATTTTTTGATCCGACTTTCACGGGCTACAATCGTGACTTAGTTAGAAAAGGTTTTGGGGACTGTTCGATGCCGGCTAGAAAAGGCCTATGAACCCAAATGAATATCATATTCGAAATCAGCATGGTCGATTACTTACAGTCCACTACATTTCGTTAAAAAAACGAGAGTACATTTGGGAAAGTTCCCTCGTTAGTTTTGACTACCTCGTGTGATCGAAACTTTTGTAGCTACTCAAATCAGATATAAGGGTCAAGTTAAAAGTTCAAAATATAAGTTAGTGGATAATTTTGAATTCACGAGAGGTGAATCCAGCTTCATAGTGTCTCATAGCTATTCTTTATCTAATGCCTCATGAGATGAATGGGAGAGAGTAGTCCTCGTTAGTGGGTAGTGGTGATACGCTTTAAACAACATCCAGAATCGTCCAGCTAAAGCTACCTAAATAGTGACAAAACAAGTCGTCTAATTTATTCTTCCTCTTTACAATGTTTCAATTTTGAAATTGCAAACTGGGTATGATTACCGGACGCTAGGGTGATATCAACATACGCGCAATCACCACTGCGTAGTCCCCCAGTGAGTAGTCAAAGCAACAGAAATTGTGTTCTGGTGCACTACTGTCAATATATCAGACTGTTCACTAAAATATTATCTGATTTTAGATCCCGATGTACAAGCGATTGTTGATTTAAATATAACAATGCTTCAAACATTTGTGACATCAATAAAAGACGATCACCGATTGAAGGATCTTTTTCTCTCAA